ATCTTAAAGTTCTTTATCTTCGCTCCCAGACAACGGTGCCAAAAACTTGATCCACTTCAGCGATTATCGCAATAATACAAGTCTCCGGCAACGACACGAAAAACTTGATCCACTCATAGCAACTTGATTGAGTTCATAAAATCAAGCGGTTTTGCACACTGGGGTTTCTCACATAAGTATACGTATCGTTTCAGTAATATAAGGCTCTATTGAGTCCGAATTGACGATCCCTCAGCAAGTGAGATAATGATTCCTTTAAGAGAAGTCCTAGTTTACTACTTTTAGGTCATATTTTGGAATTTTGATTTGGTGAAAGTTCTACCAACTACTCCACTACTTCAATTAATTATAATGTTAAAACCTACCTAAATTGGTTTGGTGGTTATCAAAATATAAAAGTTACCCCTCTTATGATGATATAAGTGATTTTGTAGGAATAGATACTTCAAATTGCAAATGTGGCTAGTGACAAATAGAAACAATTATCTTCTTTACCATCTTCTGAGTGCATAAAGAAACTTGGTTAAATTAATTTTAATTCCTTAAATCCCAATTTGAACTCATTAAAGACTATTTCCCTATCTATTTGCATCTCTCTATAGCTTACTTTTGTTTCATATCCTATATAGTTCAACGTGAATATTCTAATCGTTTCTGCATCGCTCTTCCGAGTCATAATGAATTTCAACAAATTTTAACAGTTCATATGACCAATATGAAAATTAAATTAAGCTTTGAAGAATATTCATCACATTGATGTTTAAAGATCACTTTTATAAGCATCTTAACATCCTACACATCCAACTTATTCTTCACAAGAGAAAGGTAAGAAAGATCTACTCACAGCGCATGAAAAAAAACACTGCAAATCATCATCTTATAACAAAACAAATCTATTAGAATTGTGTTTACAAGCAGTACAAGATAATATAAATGACAATACTTAGTTTTTTCTCTGAGAAAAGAGATGAAATTTCCTCCCCAAAAAGTCTCCAAGTGCTCCCTGCAATACTAAGTATATCCTTTTACAGATTTCTATCCAACCCCTCTCCAATCTCTCTAAGAACGTGAAAAATACAAAATCCTAACTCTACACTACGACTCCTCTGCCTCCTTGGACTTCCCAAGGCTTCATAATGTTTAGGTGCGCCCTCTCGAATTGCCTACGATACCCCCTTAACTCCCAAAGTCGTGCTAAAATAACTGCAGAAACTGCCCAGCCAGTTTCCAACAACTTGGATCCAGCGCCTAGGCGTTAGTTTCTCGGTTTACCTGGGTAGGTTCCGGCGCCTTGGCGCCCAGTAAGCTGGTGTCAAGGCGCTTGGGTAGAGCACCTTAGCGCCCAAAAGCTGGTGCTTAGGCACCAGTCTACTGGTCCCCAATTTGCTCTGTTTAGCCTTTGCTTCGCTCCATTTCAGCTCTGCTTCGCTTCATGTGTCCTACCTGTTATACCTGCAAGAAAAACACAAAAATATCTTTCTTAAAGTGCAATTTCATCCACAAATAGATGCAAAATATAAAGAAAATTATGCATGTTTTAGGACACATCACAGACCGACATTGTAGTATATGCTCAGATTCACCCACGACAATTCTGAAATAGGTAGCGTATCGAAACCCGTATTCTACCCCGGGTCTTAGCTAGTGACATATTCTACACTGTCTGACACGTCTCTCCGTATCTCATAGAAAAGAGTATTGCTTTACATAGAAAAGAGTATTTTTTCGGTCAAAATGCTCGACTATCCCTCTTGTGATACTCTTGCAAAACACTCTCTATATGAACTCTTATAAATATAAAGTTTGTTTTGGAAGAATAAGTAGCCATATGACATGTAAAACTGTTCATAGGGTCTATACTGGAAGTAATCAATCTTGAATATCCTCTTCACCGACATACAGATTTTTCTACCCTTCAAAGGCAATGTCTTTTGAGTGCATAGTGGTGATCAAATAGTGATGGTAGCTCAATGTATTAGCTATCTTATTTTTGCGTCTTGCTTTGTCAGAAAATGAAGACCAGAACCTCCACCCATAATGCATGTTTATCATTTTATTTTCTCTGACTATTTAAGAATCTCAAAGCTTATGATCAATATAAATGATGAATTTATTTGTCAGTTGATAATGACTCAAGTGATTTAGAGCTCTCACAATGATATAAAACTCATTAATGTAGGTCGAGTGTTTCTCATGGAATTATTCAACTTTTCACAAAAGCAAGCAGTAGGGTGTTCTTCTTGACTTATGGGAGCTCCAACTCTCACATTGAAGGATTCACACTTCGCCTCGAACATCTAATTAAAATCTAGAAGAGCTAGGATTGAGGCCAGAGTAATACATTTCTTCAAAATTTAAAAGCTGGCTTGTGCGTCATCTGACCCAGTAAATCTATCGAACTTGAGACACTCCATCAAGGATGTTGCTATAAAACTGAAATTCCTGACAAAATTTCTATAAAAAGGTGCCAGTTTATGAAACTGACGTACCTATGTAAGAGACCGTGGACTGGACTAGTCTACATTAGCTTTGAGCTTCACTGGGTCCATTTCGATACCGGTAGCTCAGTCATACCCCGGGAAGTATGTCTGTGGTGTAAGAAAGTGACACTTCTCTGAATAGCCATACAATTGCCCCATACGAAAATTTTCAAAATCCGTCATAGATGCTGCAAATGCTCCTCCTTTAAACGACTGTAAACCAAAATGTTATCAAAGTATATAATCATGAATATTTTGATAAAGGCTCGAACAACTTGGTTTATCAGCTTCATGAAAGTGTTTGATGCATTATGATTATCCACTCCTACAACCTAGTTCGTGTTGTTGCATCTCTTTTTGTTTTTATAGACCTTTTATATTTATCCCTTTCAAAGCTCCTTTTCCAAACAACCTCCACTCATAAAAGACAGAGAGAGGAAAGATAAGAATGAAATCAGGTAAATAGTAAGAACAAAATAAAAAAAAATATAGATATGAAGATGTCCCGTAAGACAGTTCTTGTAACATAAATTGGAGAAGTGCGGTTCAAAGCAAATCATACTATACTCAATTCAAGAAAACATGAGGAAAGCCTTACAAAAGAGTTTGACATCCAAACCAGAGCCCAAAATCAAATTTATTTTGTTATGGGTTCAAAGAGATCCCACGATGACGTATCCTCATGGTCAATTATATCATTAAGGATACCTAGGAAGACTCTCGATACGAGGGGTTGTGCTCGTTCTTACAGAAACTCTTGACAATTAGATACCATGGAGAGTTTCATCATTCCTATAGGGGTAACTTCTATTGTCAAGGTAAACTTAGACTATTAGGCAGAGGGTAAATCATCGTAAACTGATAGATAGCTGCCACTCAACAAAAGAGGGTTTATGGAACAACTACAAAAGACTCGAGAAAGGAGTACAAAGGGGCCAAAGGGGTGTCAACGGTAGGTTGGCAAAATTCTAGACGGTAGAGATAGCTTAGTAAGGATTTTATGGATCTGTCATCCCAAGCTATTACGGCTTAATACTAAGCCATGAAGGTATTCTATCTAACACGATAACAAACTATTTGTTAGCAACCCGTGTATTGCGTCGTCTAAAGTAATTCAGTAGACCTATAGCCATGAGAAAGAGACGTCTAAGCGCCTATGAATCTACTCAAATGAAAAATGTGGGAATAGTCTTATACCTGCCAAGAGTATGATAAGGATGCTTACAGAGTAGAAATGAACACGTGACTTTGCTACAATGCCAAGTCACACCACAAAGGGCGTATAATCATGTTTGCCCCGTGAATGCTTTTAATGCCCTAATCATGCTAAAAAATGACCTAAGCTAGAAAAGCTTATGCTGGGCCAGTCGAATTGGGGGAGCAAGGATGCTCCTCCTTAGCTTGCTGCCCCTCAGGACATGCAAAGTAAAGGTGCAGGTTTTAAAATTGATTAATTTTAAATCTAAATTTTAATTAAGATAAATCTTTTAAATTAAATTTTTATAGAGTAGAGCGGCAATTCCGAAAGGGAAGGGACAAAAATTGTGGTGTTGGAAGGTGATTGACAACCCGGGGTTGTGGCGCCGGATGATGAGGGAGTGAGGGTGTCCTGCTGGGAGGAGGCCGACAGTAAGCGACGGCGGCATACAAGAGAGTAGGAGAGGTGGCCGTGGACTGGACAATAGTAGGAGACGGTGTCGGGGGCTGGACAGTAGCGAAAAACAGTGTCTAGGGGCTGACTAGCAGTGTCAAAGCAGGAATAGGACTGGAAGGCTGGTGCAGCTGCCAAAAGGCGACTGGAAGCAAGGACAACAGCAGGAAGAAGGGCCGAAAGACCTGTGCGGTGGATGGAAAGTGGCTGGGTGGCTGGACGACAGCAGGAAGAGGGGGCGAAAAGGCCTGTGCGGGGGTTGTAAGGCAGTTGAGTGGCTTGGCGGCAGCAAGAAGAGGGGTCTGAAGTTTTGTGCATTGTTGGATGGCAGCAGGAAAGGGAGAACGAGTGAAGATAGTCGCCACCTCAAACGAGTTACGGCCATAACACATTCTCATTGTCAATATAGCCCTTGGAAGGGAGACTGACGAAGGCGGAAGTCTGAAACTAGAGACAAAGAAAAAACTCCCTCTAACCTAAACAAACATCACATATATATCATGGGAATTAGTAGATAGAATAGGCAAGAAATAGAAAAGGGAATGGAATAGATAGGAATAAAAAAGGAAAGGGGAGCGGGATCCGCAGATCCCGCTTACAGGCGTGGGAAGAGGGTCGGTCCAGCCCTATAGGGCCAAATTCCTCTGCGGAACCCATGGCCGGTTCAGCCATGCCCCAAGTCCCGCGTCAGGTTTGCCTTTGACTTTCAAGTTATTTTAAATGAACTTCTGGATTTTCCATGTAATCTGATAAAAGAATTTTCACTGTTATCATTGTTTCCTGATTTGTAAGTTTCTAAAGACTGGTTCGGAGATTCTCTTTTTAAATTGTATATACCTGATAACATACTTTCAATGCCATGTATTCAGCTACGTATATGAACCATCTTCTATTGTAATCAAAGTTGTCGACATTTTGGAGGAACAGAGAACCTCACTCTTGCAGATACAGGATAAGCATGGGGTGAAGGTTAGTTGGGAGGAATACCAAAATGTTTCGTGCTATTGAATTTAAGGATTATTCCCATGTTTGAACTTTCTTAATTTTGTCATCCGTTCACAGATTTCTTGTGGATTAGATAGCCAATTTTCTGGGATGGTTGAGGCTTGGGCTTCTGGCTTGACTTGGAGAGAAATAATGATGGACTGTGCAATGGATGAGGGTGATTTGGCTCGGCTCTTTCGGCGTACAATTGATCTGCTGGCACAGGTAAATGTGTTGTTATGTGATTAACCATGATTAATGACGGCCATTAAATAAATTTTAGAATATGTTTGCAACCATTTCTTTGAGTTTTATCAATCTTAATACCTTCAAAATTTTTTGGATCCATTATTCTTTATTAATCACAGTTTTTTTTTCTCATATCTTTTTCCGTTTCCGTTTCACGTGAATCTTGTAAATCATTAATGGATTTAAAATAACATATATTTACTAGGAGAATGATAAGATTGGTTTGCTTAATGCATTACTCCTAATTTTTCCCTCTTCTCCTCAATTAATGATTTATTTTTTAAAATAAAATATATTGACTAGATAATAATAATAGTACATTAAAGGCATTTTCTGCAAAATACCAAAATAAAAAAGATACGAAGATTTTATTTGGGTCTGATAGTTTGAAGTCTAGTGAAAATAGGAGAATGACTAGATTTTTTTCTGATTCCTGCTTGTTCTGGTATAAAGAGTGGAATGTTTTATCCATCTAAGAGTAGACAACCTATTGTGCTAAATAGTCTTTGTTTTAATCATTAGTAGGAAGAACTTAACTTGTTTTAAGCACATGCAGTCGGTGGTAATATCAACAGTTAATGAAATGATCACCAGGAAGGGGCTAGCTGGGGCAAGAACATTAGATATTCTTTCTAGGAGAAACTCTGAACCTGGATTCAGGTTTCGGGAATGGACCTGAAGCTGATGTGGGAGAATCTTCTACCAGAAGGTTGGTAGGATCAATATGAGGATAAAGTGAAAGATATTGCGACTAAAATTGATGATTTCTTAGCTCAGGACGGGCCTTGAAACAATTAGAGAATTTATGCCCAAAAATGCGGCAAAAGGAGCAATTAGATGGAATATTTTCAAACTTCACCTTCTGTCAATATCCAAATGATAGAGTTTCAATCAATATCTCCATATAAAAGAGGTCAGTAGCTTCCAAATACGCTAGGACTAACCATATGGGCTTAGTAAAATAATCTATTGTAGAGCATCCAGTTGCAAACTTCGTCAAAAAAAAAAAAATGTAAAAAGAATATAAGGTAGATTAGTTGAAGTAGTGCTGACGAAGTCGAGAAAAGGAAATCCAAATTGCAGAAATAGGAGGCTCCGCGATGCATTTAAAATGGGGAGGCCATTTGAAGATATGCATAGGAAGGTCATTGATATAGTGTGAATGCCATGACAATAGTTTGAATTCTAAAGAAATCCTTATGATAACATACTGAGAGTCAATGTGCCCAATGTAAGTCACTTGTCAATTTTAACTCATACAAGAAATTGCGAATTACTTTAATGCTAGGGCAACCCCATAGATAATTTATTAAATGGTGAAAGAAAGTGCATAAAAGAGCGTGTATGACGGGTGGAAGAGGATCAACTAATAGAGAACAAGAAGAATTGCTCAGAAATAATAGAAGCCATAAGGGAAGGAGGTGACTTCATTGGAGGGTCAACCAAGGCTTTAGGAGAAGTTATTGCAGGAGATGATTCAAAGAGACTATGAAGAAGTAGGTAGTGCTGAAAATCCCTTAACCGAGATCAAATAAATAGACCGAGCATGATCTCTGATATGAGAGAAAGAGCAAAAGTATACTGGCAACGAGAGAGAAGAGACAACACAACATTGGCTGCCCCGGGAGCCAGAAGGAATGAGAGTAGATTGGTTGTTAACATCATGATGTGGTGTCGACATCAAATTTGTCAACAAACTAGAAAGGCCAAGCTTGGAAACCACATGTTCACCCTAAATATGCATAGGGTAATGGCAAGAAGCCACGCATGTGACTGTCCGGAAGAAGCTTTGTGATGTCCTTGTAATGTCCCTTTTCTATAATTGGGGGAGAGGAAACAAGAAAAATAAAGAAGTGGAAGCGAGGAATCGAGCAAAGGGGAGACAGATCGAGATAGTCAGATAGCCGAAGAAATTGGAGATGAATTAAAGAATCGGGAAGGTGAAATGAGGGGATCAGAAGCCTACGTGATGAGGTTGCCTATAAAACAATGCTAACCAGGGTTTCCCATGCTTTGATCGAAATTAAGGCGGCGTCGGGTCTAGCAGTGGAGCCGGTTTCAGTGTTCTGTAGAGGAAGAGGAAGTGAGGAAGATGCGCTTGTGACATACGAGGATAGAGAAGACGGCGTCCAAGAAGGTAGAAGAGTAAGAAAGGAGGGAGTCGAATACGCGTGCGATCGAAGAAGCCGAGGTCGCCGTCGAGCAGAAAAGGAGGAAGAAGTCGCGAGCATAATTCATGCAAAGGAGGAAGAAATTGAATATCACCCATGCGTAGAGGGGGCGAAATCATGAGTTTGTGAATGGTTAGGGCTGAACCGAGGGTTATTAGAGATGTGTTTTAATATTTAATAAGAATTTCATACATCAAGATGAGTACTCATGTAAATAACTATGGTTTCATAAAATAAGAATTTCATACATATAAATAAGAATTTAATAAAAATTCTTACATCGTGGCGAGTACTCATATTTAATAAGAATTTTGTACATATAAATAATTATGATTTTATAAAATAAAAATACTAAAATATAATTCCTAAATATTACAAATTTAATAATTTATTAAAATATTATATTAATTAAATTTTATATAATGTTTGGCTTCTAATTTTAGAAGTGTCGGTATCAAGGTAAATTAATCGACATCGATGTGAGTAATAATGTTCTTAATCTATAGAAATATTTTATTTTTGCTTGTCCAAATGCATTTATTATTATTGTACTGTAGACCCGTGATTTATGATTTTATTGAATTTTATTCATATTGTAAAAGTGACTTTTATGTTCAACTTTATTTAATTTATCATTGAATCATATATAAGAATATTGATTGATATTCAAATGAAAACTAAATATTGATTATTAAAATCTAAGGTTTTTATAGTGTTTTGCATGTGCACGCTTGACTATGATTGGGTCATCCATTTATGTACTAGTGATGAACATTAAGGTATTGGTACACGTATATGAAAAATAATATTGATATTGAAACAGCTTAAGTGACAATTTTTTTATACGGTGCTCCTTTGGTGATTGTATAGATATAGAATGATATTTGTATGTTATTGATATAATAAAATTTATTGATAGCATCTTAAATATTAATATTAATTTATTAAACTGACATGCATATTGCTATCATTTTCGTTGTACTACTGTAGTTGAGGAATATGAGTATTCACTGGATTGTTTAGCTCACTATTATTTTTTAATCTAACTTTTCGGGTTAGTTTAAGTGATTAAAAGATAAGTGATATAAAGAATAATATTTATAGAAGATGCGAACTACTTGTAACGAGGTAAATTTAATTTTCTTGTTTTAATATAATTTAATTACTTACTCTTTCTTTTGTTAAATGTTAAATTATGAAAAATGAATATAGGAAAATTTTAATTTCCATCGTCCGATCATCTGTTTCCTCATTGGTTGCTTTCAAGCTATGAGTTGGGTCGTGACAACCCTCGCTAGAGTCGACCCTGCATAAATACTTAGTTGAAGAACAATGGTGAAGGGCATCAAGCAAGATCAGACAGACATCTCCATGACGATAAGCGAGCAGGCCAACTAGAAAAGGAAACTAATCACTCGGCGGCTATAGCACAGCCAGGGCGAGAAGATCGTACCTCAATGGTGATCGTGAGACTTGTCGTGCACGAAGTTCAACTTATTTTTGCATGCATCGTAAGGCAATTTAAGACTCTCTCCTCTTTCCTATGGGGGATAAGAATGCAACCTGCGCCTGTACTTGATCCCTACTTCTCTGCAAACCCTATTACTAAACCCTAGAAAACTTTAACAAAAGAAAAACAAAATTGAATTAGGGTATCCTGGTTAAATAATTTTGCATTGCACTCATTTCAAAGTTGCTTCAAAAATTTTATCCTGATCAATTTTTAGTTAGGATATCGTGATATTAATTTTTCCTCAACAAAATCTCTTGCTCTCTCTTATATTAATTATCACCAGTTCTTCTCTCTCATCTCTCCCTCCTATTGTAATAAGTTCCCTTCCATCAGGCTCCCCACTTATAGCAAGAACTTCAAGAAACCAGGCCCAAACCTATTCTCTCTCTACTGATTCCTCTCTATTTCTAAATTCTCTTTATACTTGAAACTAACCCTTAACTTGCACATCTTTACTATCTCTTTGGCCACCCTTTTTCCTTAACATAACAGAGCACTCTCTCTCTAGATTAAAAAGAAGAACGTCAATTCCTCTCTCTCTCTCTGACGCAGAATGTGGGATTTGTCACGATGGCAGAAGTAATAGCTGTGGTTTTCTTTTATTTATTTATTTTATTTTCAGCAAATTTCTTTTCTTGTTTCTCCTTTTTTTTTTTTGGTTCTTTCTTATTTTCTTATTTGTCAATTAGGTTATTTCCTATTAGGGGACTTTGTATGTGGTATTGTGGTAGTTTGGATTTCCAATTTTTTGTTGTATAAATTTCGAGAGGCTTTTTGCTGATCTCTGCCATGCGGAGTGGTGTAGCATCTATTCTTTTGCAAATGTTGTGTCTGTAGCTTGCCCAAGAACATATCGTGGATCTCCCTCGCCGTCCATACCTCGCCTTTTCAAAGTTCGAGTGTTGTTCTCAGTCTGGATAGCTGCTGAAATGTTCGATCCTGCTGTCCAACATTTTTCAGCTACCGAATGCATCATACTCATTCTGAATGCTGCTAACCTCACATATTTTCTTCCCTCGCTATTCCACAACCACTGCCCCACTAAATCCCCAACCTAAACACCTTATAGGAACCCTAGAATGGTGTCACTCTCTTTACTATTTCTTTTTAAACTTTGACCATAATTTTATTCCAAGAAATAATCTTCGACATCGCCGCAGCATCAAGAAAAAGTGCAATTTGCCACAACACGCCAAAGTGATTCTATGTCCTTGAAAATGTGTATTTTGCATTACTAAGTCAAAAAAAAAAACAAAAAAAAAAACAAAACAAAACTAGGCCCCTAAGCGACGCGGGGGTTTACTTGTCGCAGCCCACCCAGTGTTAGAAGGGTTAGGGAGAACAGGGCCACCCTACCATCTGACCGGTTCCAGGCTACAGTGTCACCTTTCCTTTTCAGAGTGTCGTACCCCTTCTTTGTTTGTCGCCTTTGCCATCTTTATTTACTTAGTCTCCCCTTCTTTTTCTGGTTGCCACCCAAAGGGGAAGGCTCCCCTTCCTGTTTTATCTCCTAGCTATTATATATGTGCTGTTTTGTTTTCTTAGGATTAGTTTTTGTCTTTCTGAGTTCGGATTCCTGTCTAGCTCGCTGCCAGCGGCTGTTTTCCCTTCTACGTTGTATCCAACGGCAAGGAGATGCTCTGACTTTAAGTCGTCCAAGGTGATGACCTTCTCCAAAGTTTCGAGAGGTGCTCGGTTGTAAATCGACCCCGCGGGGATACCTATCTTCCCCAACTGCCCTCTGCAGTTTCCCCCTCCTATGCTTTTAGCCACCAATCCCTGAATTCCCTTCCTACTGGGTCGCAGAATCCCTCAGGGCTTTCTGGTGGTTGCCACCACTCTTGTTCCTAGCTCACTATCCATCTACTTGTCACTATCCCACCTAACCTACTCGCCTATCCTCTCGCCAGGTCTGTTGCTAATTGTCGCAACCCCCATTTTTATCTCCTGTTGATTGCCGCAACCACCCTCCAGACCTTCTGTTGATTGTCACAACCCCCATTTAACAACCTTGCTTTCAAGCCGCCGTCCACCCTTCTTGCCCTCACCCTACAGAGCTATTATGTTTTTATTGTTATTTCGATATTATCAAGAGTCTTTGTTTGTAAAGTCTTTCGAATTACAATAATAATATTTTCATTTCTATTGTTGTTTGGGTTAACTCCGGTATCACTAAACCTAAATAGTGTGACACAAGTGGGCCTTAATAAAACTTGAAGTTTAATTGCTAGATATGAAAACACATAAGAATTGAGTGATAAATCTTCATAGAATGAAATAAAATTATTTTTAAGAACTGTTAAAACATGTAGAAGTTCTTTAACCTATTTTCAAAAACATTGTTGACTTGTTTTAAAAAATAATATAATTAAAACAGATAAAAAAATGCATCAAAAATATCTTTTTAACAATAAAAGGAAAAAAAAAAAAGGAAAAGCGTTGCCAAACAAAGCCCTAATATGATGAAAGCAAAAAATTGGCTCCATTTGCTAGAAAATATGCAATGTAATACGGTGAAAATAAAAACCTGGCTCTATTTTTTAGTTTTTAGGATTTCGTAATGGGCTATAAATGGCTTATTATTAGCTCTTCTTTTATGTTCAGATTCCAAAACTGCCAGACATCGATCCTGTGGTGCAAAGCAACGCCCTCGCCGCCGCTAATGTTATGGACCGTCCCCCCATCAGCGAGTTTGCTTGATGAACAGTGAGTGTTTGCCATTTACTCTTCAGTTTTTTTCTGATCTTATTGCATTAAGAATTATATATATGAATTTGTATAGTATCTGTTCTTTGTGTTGTAGCTTTTCCTTTCTTATATGATTTTGTATTTCATTTTTTAAAAAAAACTATAGATAAGTTAATATATAGAGCCAATTTGCTAATAAGGGTTCCTATATTCTTGGTTTCTTTTGGGGTCGAACTTGAATTTAATCTATTTTATGAGTAGAATTTAATCATGGAGAGTCTTCATATTCTTAAATATATATTGAGATAATTTAATGGGGCATATATATAAATTTTATTTTATTTTAGACACATATAGAAACACTCAAATGTTTAACATCACATCAAAAATATCCCCATCTCTATATCTTTAAGAGTAAAATACGCATTTTCATGCATAAATTTATCAGACCAAACTTTTGGTGTTTGATATGTAAATATATAAGAATTGTGTGGTATGTATGTAATTTTCCCAAAATTCTTGTGGTTCGTTCCTGATTCCTTATTTATACAGCTACTGGTTTTTGCGGTAGAAAATTTTTTGTCGGTCCGGTATTAGGAAGCTGTTAAAGCTGTGAATTTTAAATCAGTGGTTTTTAAAATGATTTTTTTTTATGCTGTTTAAAATATTAATTCTATTTTTTCTTATTTATTTATGAATGATACTTTTATAAATAAGACTCATATTGATGAAAATCTTTTTTAATTGTTAATAAATGGGCTTAAAGATAAGTTTTATGTTGAAAGAAAATTTAAATAAATACATTACTTTAGTAAGTATAAATTAGTCAAGAAAAGTAGAATTCTCATGGTTCTTCATAATCATAAAAATCCACTTTCCAGCCTCTAACAGCTCATTTTTTTCTTTAAAAAATTAGATAAATAATCATTAATGAGCTTTAACTAAACATTATCAAGAACATGTTGAATATTAATTCATTTGTAGCCGTATAGATGGAGGCATATTTGTGTACGTCTAACGTACGCAGAGCTGCATACGTCGGTAGGTTGTATTGGGGTTATATCCGCATTATACCCTTTGTAACTTATTTGCAAATTACCTGTAACTAATAGCTTTTGGGCTTCTGTTTTCATATATTGTAGGTTACAGGTAGGTTGCACAGAGGTTACAGGTAGTATAACACGGATATAACCCTCCAATACCCTCCCTGTAACCTACCGATCTACCGACGTATAGATGATAGTTAGAATGGATGCAGTGGCTTTATTATCCATTCGTTCATGACACAATTTTGGCACGATTGCATGAAAATGAGAAAAGGATCACATTTTACGAAGAATAAGGCTAAAAATCATCGAGTATTATTTATTTTAAATAATATATTAATTAAAAATCATTTTTAATAATAAAAAAATAAATAAAATCAAAACAAAAAAAACAAGTTGCCTTTATTTGACTTTGAATATCATTCAAAAGTTTTTAAATGAACGATTAGAGGTGTGAAAATGAACAGCTCTGTTCTCCATAGAAGTGTTTTGAACAGGAAAAAATATTACATCAGTACTATGCACGTAGAGTAAAGTGCGTAGCCAATGAAATCACTCTACGACACTCCACGTGACTAAAAAAAAAAAAACGGTGCGGTAACACGGAGAATATTCTCCTGTGTTATTGTATGTTATTCAAGTGTTATTGTGTCCTGAAAATATTACTGGTGTTATAATAACACAATAACACATGAATAACACAATAACACATGAATAACATGAGAGGAATATTCTTCTGTGTTACCGCGCCGTTTTTTTCTGTTGGGAATATTCCCTTGTGTCCTGAGAATATTTTTGATGTTATAATAACACAATAACATATCAGTAACACATGAATAACACATAATAACACATTAATAACACCGGGGGGGGAATATTCTCCGTGTTACCGTGCCGTTTTTTTTTTCCTATCGCGTGGGGTGTCGTGGCGTGATTTCATTGACTACGCATGTTACTCTACGTGCATATTACTGATGTAATATTTTTTCTTTGAACAGGGGCAGGATTGCCCTTTTTTTTAGAGTGGGTAAAATGTCTCCTAGACTCAATATGAGAAGGGTAAGGGTAATATTTCAGGAGGGGCAAATACTAATACATCTGAATGGATAAAAGATAAAATTGTTCTTTCATATAAATAAAAATTTAAATTTGAGGGGACCTTTCTTGGGTTCTTCTCTAGTTCTGAAAAGGACTTAACACTATAACATTGTATGGGAAAATCACTCAAGGCATTGGCTGAAAGGATATATATTTTTATTTCAAAGCTGGATGTTACAGGTATCAATATCAACAGATGCAGCTATAATAAGTTTCATCATATCTATAATCTTTGTAACTAATCTTGTGTCTACTTTATGTGTATTAATTTTAGACTCATCTAACAAAAATATGAAGTATATTTCAATCTAAAAAAGCAAAAATTGAATGTACCAAAACATTAATCATGCATTTCATCCATCAAAAACTAATGAGCAAGTCTATAAAGAATGTATGTATAAACTAAGTTTAATAACGCATAAAAAAAGAGTACATTATAAAAAATCACAAATCTTTATCACACAATCGAAATCATCAATGGAGAAACTATCAATGCATCTCAGTCATCCTTTGGACTTCGGACACCTTGTTGTGTTCAACTCGATAAAAAACAAGTCAAGTTTGAGGAACATTCATATGAATGTTAGCAAGCTTGAAAGCTCGACTCATAAGCTCAGTAATTAATCAATTAAATCAAGGGATGATTACATACATAACATGAAATATTGCTATTTACAAACCTAGCATCCAGGTGATTATATGAACAACCCACGATCAAATCATTGAGAATTTCATAAAAACGAAAAATATTTAACTTAGAATTTTGATATTTGATTGGCATATTGAAAAATGGATGAAAGAGGGTGCTAGATTTTTAAATTGCAATGTTTCGAGTGCTATGCATTTAATTGCCCATTGAATCAAACCAAAAATTAGCTAGCTTGGGGCCATATATAAAAAGGCAGATCGTGTCACTCATCAATCTTTTGAAAATATCTCATTTCTCATGTTTGAACTCATTAGCTGATGTCCGGTCAAATTACAAACCGGACTGTGTGTGTGTGTAAATCTTATAATTGCTTTGATTTCTGTGCGTAAATGAGTTTATAAGGATTATTCACAAAATTTCGTCATCTTGTTGAGAATATAATTGAGCATTTAAATCTAAAGGTAGGGAAGGTGGGGTACCAGGAGGAATACAGGCAGCTCCATGCTCCCCAGCACTGATGCATAAGGCCTCTGCATAGCTTATTACTGCATCAAGATCAATTTTTCCGCTAAGACCGTTAATGAACTTCAGAACAGAATCGAAGTCCATCCCCTCCCCTATGATTTTCTCCCGGTGGAGTTTAAGTATAGCGACGCAGATGTAGAGGTGGAAGTGTTCTGACAGATAATGCGTCCAAAGTACCTCCCATAGTTGCATGATCTCCCCATACTTAAATTCCCTGCAGTTTTTAGTTACAGAAGTAATGAAAGCCAGCAAAAACATACTTCCAGTAATTTGTCGATTAACAACACATTCTATATTTCGTATGTTCCATCTCTCAATGCAGGCAATAAATCAAAAGGATTCTGAGTTTTTTTGTTCATGAACTATCAAAAGAGTATGTTTAATAAAGCCCTTATAGACTTGAGCACATTTTAATGTGAAAAAGAAAGGAAATCAGAATTCCTCGTGAATCATGTACACAGTGAAGTCAATTACCTCTTGAACTGTATAAGAATCCAGCGGAAACAGAAAAAATAATTTAAACAATCAGTTTTCCCAAAGTGTTCGTGTAATGGAAGGTCCAGAAGCTCCACAAGCTGGAGATACGAGAAGAATATAGAAGAGGTCAGAGGAAAACAAATAATACAAAAACAAACATTTAAACTATTTGAAGCACTTTTGAGTGGGCAGATTTTGACCCCTTCTCATCTAAAGAAAAAAGAAAATTTTCTTATTTTTCAACATTTACAAAGTGGTCCATAAAGTGTTTTAAACATGAGGGACCAAATTTAATTACACTAGTGATTATGAAACTTAGTTTTGTTCTGAATTTCAAATAGACCTTATGAGTTATGATTACATATCATTGAAAAGGTGACCTGTTGATCTTGGTGTCTCTCGGATCTTTCTTTCTAAAGTAACGGAACAATTTAAAATTAAAAAAAAAAAGGAAAAAAAAATGAAATAAGCACGCTATTACTGGATTGTTAAAAACAATCTCCAAAATTGGCACCAAAAAAGGATTGGTGAATAATTAGAATTAGGGGGATTTACATAAGGAACCATCCAATTCCTTCTTATTTACCTATCCAATCCCTAAACTTTGCTATTTACTAATATACCACGCAAATCATCCGACGTCAACCACTCCGGTCACCTCCTGTTTAACACTCACCCCTTTCGCTTGCATAAAAGCTTGGAAACTTAGTATTGTTCTTAAATGTGCGCTCAAGCACAATAGTAAGCTCACGCAATCTCAAGCATATTCCGCAATCAATGATGATAATTATATGAGTAATGAGGATGCAAACCTTCATAAGCGCAAAGAGTTGGGTGTGCATTCCATTCTGGTCACGGTTGAAGTTTGGGCCCAGGCGCTCCATTAAAGCAACAAAAGACCAGAATGCATCGGATTCATCCCTTATAACAAATAATAGCGGTGATAAAAGATCGCTCATACCCTAAAGAACCAATACGCAAAGACAAGAATTATATTGGATTTCAAGAAATAAGTATATTGGCATTAAAAATGCTGTATTCTTTTAATAGGAAAAAATTAAGACATGATGTTAAAGATGAGAAAACAGAAGAATAAATGCTCTAACAAGTAACCTGACAGTATCCAAGGTCAAAGTTATAGAAAGAATATGTCAGCAGTATGTCCCGTAGAATTGTAATATTGGGATTTCCGTCTCCTTCATAATATGGGACAGATCTATCTGTTCTAACCTTGAAAACATGGGGAGAAAAAGGTTCATAAAAATTCAGTGATTACATGGAAAAGCTTTAGCACAATTTTGATTTGCAATGCGCCACTGGAAAAGCTAAAATGATCATACCACGTCCTTTTCAATTAAGCCCTTCCGCTCTCTAAACTTAGTAAACCGACTAGCCTGTGTCTCTGAAATACTCTGTATTTGAAAAATCCATATTAGTTCCTAGAAATGACAGCAAACTAATAATTACTAATATAATTCCAATTTATAAAGCACTTCATGACATAAAGTCATCTATTTGCATATTTACAGAACTTCAAAAAAAGCCTGCAACTCAAAATGCAGCCTATAGTTCATGTTAAGTCTAAGAACGTTCAAAGTATAATACTGAGTTAGCTACGCACCATGTATACAGCACCATTCAAGAGTAAGACTTGCTTGGAATGAGTTACAATATTTTTTGAACAATTCAACAAATTATATAAAATCCATCAACATTCTAAAACTAAATGATGCAAAATCTCAATGTTTATGGTTGTTGAAAACATTCGGACAATCAAACTGAACATAAGCATTGGCTTTAATTTATTTTACTTTTATAATTCTCTTTTTTGTTTCTTTTGATTTTACTTTTTAGTATTGAATTTTGTTTATCCCAACTAGTATGCACTAAGTTCTCTAATTTCATGACCTCCTTCCCTCATAGTGGCAGGGTAATGGCTCATTATTTATGGGTGATACGCTTATGGGGACAATATTGCTTGAAAATAGAGGTCATAATAAAAAAAATCATTTAATCATATTTATACCTCTATGCATCAGGCTCAATTTTCAAAGAAATGAATCCTCCCGTTAAAAGGCAGCTTGACTCCTTGATTTTCAAAATAAAAGGGTCCGAAAAAAGCAACTGGAGGTTGAGACTGCCATGTCTGATGAAAACCACACTAGATTAAAAAGTGATTTGTGAAATTACAATAAGCACTCAAAGAATGAGGATGTTTCCTACAAATAATGTCAAACTATTGATGTTGGAAGCGACTCTGAGTGCTCGCAAGACATCGTTTGCATTGTGGGCTCCCTCCTATATATAAAACAACAAAATAATGTGTCAAACCCGAGGAAAAGAATGGAACTTATATGAGTGAAAAGCACTCCAATACTTTAGTCACAGACTAATAGTTTGACGTATAGATGCCAAAGCAACTCAATGAACCTTTCCTTAGCAAAAGGAATGGGAAAAAGAGATGAACCCGTATCTTACACTATAGTGACTATTTATGGTATTAGAAGATGGGTTTTTCTATCTCTAGTAAGTGCATGGTGGATAAGCAAATGACCTAATCCTAGAGATCTAGGCCAAACCAAAATACCCCTCAATAGATAGAAGTTTGGTTCTTTGGGTAATCAAATTGTGAAAGACTACGCATCATTTTCAAGATGTGTGTTGGACCATCATGCCTCCATGGATATTAGATGGAGTGAAGGAGATATTTAGCTGAGATAAGTGTAGTAAGAGGTTTGAATCAAACCATTAGATCTATGCTGATGGCCTTGAAATAATTTCTTGATTTAATTTATTTGATGAAGTGGTCTTCATGAATCTTAATGTACTGCAATAATATAAAAATCAAAGGGATCATTTTTTATCTGTTCATATCTATGTGGGGATCATAAAAGCACGAGCTTTGATATGCTTGTTTGGATAAGCTCAAAAATTGGCTAAACTAAGTCTTAATGCTAAATTTTGATTCGGCTACAAATTCAAAGAATTTCTAGTTTTGATTTTTCTACGAATGCCAAACATGGCATAGTTGGTTGTTCAAACAAATTGTAATTTACGTAGGCTTTTATAGGAGAAATGCATTATATTAAACAAGCCTAATGCGGGTAACTAAAGGCCAACTTTTGCCTCTGCAAGCAAAAGCCCAAGCCCAGGATGGGCATGGAGGATCCCATTAATAGTGCTTTTTAAACGGGTATAGGTAGCCCATTTGACACATTGATTGAAGAGGCTCCAATATGACCAGCTTGCATGGTTGCAAAAGAAGCTAATCCAAGAGACTACACAACAGCCTTTAATTTTAATAACAGCATCCCCATTTCACAGTCCATTTGATTTTGAGGGAGGTTGCGACTAAAAGATAAAGAGACACTCGCTTCAACATGATTTCCACTATTTTAGCTTGTATTTATGGGTGAAAGTAAGCTAGTTTGAATTTTTTTTCTAAAATTAGATATTATCTTATTTTTTTTATAAATAATAGGCCTTTTGCAGCCATCTATTAATCTATATTTTAGTCAGACAGAATTTTTAGTCAATAAAATGATGTAAAGAACATGTGTTAACATGCAACAGCCACCCAAAAAAAAAAAAAAACTATAATATAAAAGTTCAAGTAAACAGATTGTATTTCAAGTTTTGATTTTATATAAAATTAAGAAAAAAGAGAATGCATACACTATACTTATAGAAGAACAAGAAAAAAAAATAAAAAATAATGGAATGTGAAAAAAAATGGGGCGTCTACATACATATCATTCAATTCCTATGCATTCACATTTCTAACATCTAAACTTTGCTTTTTGACTTTTATACCACTCAAATATTTCATATAAAAAAAAAATCACAATTTTAACTTTTAAAAAGTGAATACACCTTTTCATGCATAGGTAAGGCGGTATATATGTAAAAATTGAAGTTTGGATGTTAGAGACATAAATACAAAGCAATTGAGTGGTATGTATGTAAATCTTCCAAAAAGAATACCTTCCATTGGGACTTCAATGATTCGTACTCAGATTTCTTAACTGAATGAAGAAAATCTCTCTCAGAGAATGTAGAATCATAATCATAATATCCCAACAAAAATCTCCAAACCTGTACAGTCACGAGCAGGATATAACCCAGACACAAATAATAAACAGAACAAACGTGCAATAATTAGTTCAAGCAAAGAGAATGAGAAATAGAACCTCCTTTCGCAGAACATTTTCCATTCCACCATAAAATATTCTCTTTCTCAAAGCTCTTGAATCCATGATGCGTCCCTCACGGTCTAGGAATGTTCTCCACTGTCCCCAGAATTTAGGGGTATCAAATGAATCTTAATAGAAAGTAACGTAATACATAAAAAAGGATAAAAAGTTGCAAAAAAGTTGAATGCATTTTCATAAGCTGCAACAATATCACTGCCAAAAATTTCAAAATACTTGGGCATGAAATATAATAAATAACAAGAGGATTAACATCTATTCTGACATTCACTTTAATGTCGTGTCAATAGAAGATGGTCACCATATTCTGATGATTATATCATTTGTACGAATTACTGCGCATAAGTTTATTAACAGAATGAGAACTACCTAAACAATTAAAGAAGCAAAGCTCAACTAAAAAGGTATGCGTTTAAATATACGAATTTACCTCTTCACATGTCAAAGGTCGATTCCTTTTCTTTCCTCGTACAAAGGATCTCTCAAACTGCAAAAAAGATATAATAATTCCTATAGCCTGAAAAGCGTATCTTTGCTTCAATATAGTTCATGATGCAAATGAAAAAGGAAAATTAGTAAGAGAGAAACTGGAAAATTTTTCAACTAATATACTTTAAAGGTTAGTGATGCACAGAACTTTTTTTTTACCAGAATACAACAACAAAACTATAATCCCACTATGTGGGGTCAACTACATGAATCCTTTTTCTCCATTGCATCCTATTTAGTGCCATATTTTCATTTAGTTCTAATAAATTAAGATCATTTTTTATACAATAAGCCCTAGTCTTCCTAGGTTTACCTTTGACTTTCTTAAATCTTAAAATAAGTCAAATCTAAAACATCTGCTCTCCTAATCGGATCATCAGATGGCCGACGCTTAATGTGACCAAACCATCTAAGACGACTTTCTCTAAATCTGTCCGTCACAAGAGCTACACCAACCTTATCACGTATATAGTCATTTCACATTTTGTCTCTAAGTGTAAAGCCACTCATTCACCTAATCATTCTCATCTCAGCAACACTTAACTTAATATTATGCTTTTCTTTTAAAGGCCAACATTCAACGCCATAGAGCATTGCAGGTCTCACCACCGTCTTATAAAATTTTCCTTTCAGTCTAAGCGGTACTTTTCTATCACATAAAAGACCCGAAGCATTCCTCCACTTCAACCATCCAACTTGAATTCTACTATCTATATCACCATCGCTTTGAACAACGGACCCGAGATATCTAAATCATTCACACCTTTTAATAATTTGATCACCCAAAGTTACACTTCTGTCACTAGAGCTACCACTTCTAAAATTACATTCCATGTATTCAGTTTTAATTCTACTCAAATGAAGACCTTTAGTTTTTACCAGAACACAACAAACAAAATTTTGTAGCCCAACAACATAGATCATGTTGGTTTCATGCTTTAGAAAGCGCTTCAATCAGCACATTTCATATGTTTGAAGTAAACATTCACATGCATGTGTGCATGCAAGCCCGCAGTGTGTCGCGTACCCCGGTATGTTAGTTAGCATTCATTGTATATGGCCCCTCAGGTCGAGGGTTAAAATCCCCTCTGGTGCAGTTGGCCTTAAGGAGGTGGTACTCAAATTATTAGACACGTTAGGGTTGGCTGGAGGCTCGTATAATAGCTTCTAGTCATTCCTTTAATAACTATATATA